AGTTTGCAAGTAATCAACGACACCCAACTTCTTGGCAAAGTAATTTTATTTAACTTTCTTGCGTCCTATGAGTATGAAGGCGTACTCGCTGTCACGTAGTGCATGCAGAGTGCAGACTCGCGGCTCCACTCTGAGGACTATTGATTACCTATTATTTTAGCTATGGAGTGTCACTAGACACAAGAGCATCAGAAAAAGAGCAAGGTAGTATAATTAGCGACTCGCTCTCGCCCCAAGAAGTACAAAAACGACACAGATTCCAAGGCATTACGTCGTTTCTATAAATACAATACGTTTCTACAATAAAGCAAATTTTAATGTAATAATTTACTGACTTATATCTGCCTAAATTACTCACTGACCGTAAGTACTTGAATTAACCGAAGAAAAAAATCTAAACATGCACGCGTATGTTGATGATACTATATCAGAAGCCTTCTCGGACTTTCAAACAATTCACCAGTTTTGTGGGCATATGTTATAATTTAAAAATATATACCAGCAAAATATACATACAATAATATTCATAGTTCCAAATATATTGACTATTGCTTGAGCAGTGAGCACAGACTCATCCAAAATAACTAAATTTAGAAAAGTATCTAAATATAAGCTCTTTTATCTACACTAATATTATAAAGAAGTAAAGTTTGTGAGGTTGTAAAGGGTAATTTGTAAATCTACAGAACTGATTTAGATAAAATTTCGTAAAAAAAATAGTATGAGAACCTGGGAAGGATATAGGATACTTTTTAACCCGGAAATCATCCCTTAAGGGGCATGAAAGATTGTCTGGGGAGTCAACCTAGAGACGAACCCGAGCGAAACGAGGATGAGTCGCTAGTACTATTATAAAGAACTAGAATTATTGTAAGCTGAAAGAACCATTTTTTTTGTAAATAACTTTATTGAGGCCTAGCCCGTGCTCGTATATCGTCTACGTGTACGTATCGTCATTCCTCTCGCTTGATAAAATAGTCAAAAATTGCGTCACTGCTGCTAGTAAAAATCCTGTTAAAATGGATGAGGTTGTTCTTTTGCTCTCTATCACGCGTTAGTCCTTTTTAAATCATATCACATATTCATCATAGTCTATATTACTTTCGCAGAAACTTTAACAAACAGATAGAAGCTTCAATTTTATTAATATCATCGTAGCAGAAATTTTATTTTATATTATTTATTTGTAAAAAGCACACTTACAACATACATATGAAACATTTTCAATTAAATAATGTAATAATAATATACCTTATATGCATGTCAATTATAAGTGTACATAGCATTTCCATATTCTTGAATTTAAAGTACAAAAATTAAAAAATAATAATAATTATTATTATTATAGATAAATGTCATATTACAAAAGAAATTGATAATAATACATAATAATAAGAAGTAAAATTAAAATCATCGTTATAAACAAAAAAAATAAATTAATTAAGATTAACAATCATGAATTATATAATAATTAAATAACTTATTTAATTAAAAAATTTAATCGTAAGTATTGCTTGTTCGGTTTCTGAGATATGCAAATATTGCATTAAACAAGTTTTGTCCAAATATAGAGCGTCCCGTAGCCGTATGCATCATATAAAGCCTGAAACAACGTATGAAATCTTAAATACGGTATAATTAACAAAATCTCATTTACCAGCTGTCTCTGTACAACACGTTGATTACAGTTCGCTTTATTGCATGAATTACAATACAAAGCGTGTCAAAATTAGATATTCCTAAATCTAAAATGAGATCTCTGTAACAAGCTTCACAAAAATTCAAGAAAAAAAATGGTCTTATTATAGTCGCAGGGAAGAGAGCGGGCAAATAGTTTTTCTGTGACTTCAGACACTGTGCGATTGTCGCTCGCTTTTCGATACTTGACCTCTACGCTCGACGCCGCGATTACTCAATTGAGGGCGCGCCACTACGCTGGCCGTGAAGTTACGTCGCGTCGTTAGCTCGGGAATGTTTGCCTAAAAGTCCTACTTGATTCATGTGAACATTTCAGTGTAAAATATACAATATTCATATGAGTAAAAATATCTCTTCTTCCTGCCCTTGTTACTTTGATACTTTTTACCGCGGGAAAATGTCTCATTTCTGCAATGCTAGTTAAATATATAACATACAATATTTAATCAAATATAATATTAAATTTTGTTTGAATGTAATATTCTTTAATCGCATATTGCATTTTGCATACAAGGTGTACCGACTCAGCTAAATATCTGAAGCTTTCCACACAGTTACAGTCGCAGAAAGCTCACAGCCGAACAACACAACAAGACAACCTAGTAACTAAATCCTCACTGGTGTTGTTAAAGTAATTTTATACTATCAAAGTTATTGGCATAATTTTTATCCCATCAAGTAAATATTTTCTAACAATGCTAAGGCGTAGGGCGGGCCCGAGGGCGGTGAGGGCGCAGGGCGAGCTTCTCAATTATGCACATTAATTCGCGCGTCGAAGTCCTGCGTCAGCGTAACGGCGTGTCGGACCCGGGACGTGCCTCGTTGTCCGCTACATTACATTTAATATACTCGCAATAGTGTGCCATCAACCGCTCTCCGCGTTATGCGAGTGCGTGGGACTTTTGTTTACATTATTAAACGTTATTGGGGCCATTTTTTGAAGATTCTTACTTACAACATTATTATGTATATTATATGGCTAGTTTATAAATGAAATGAGCGTAGTTTTTAATGCTGATCAAAGAATGTGTTGGAAAAAATAAAATGATCTAAATATTAACCCTTTAGTGCGTGCAAGTCAAATGTACCAGCTTCGCATTAAATACCTACATACGTAAATATATTCCCTACGGATACAGGAGAGTAGCGCTTGTGGAGAGCAGTACAAGCGCTGTCGTGACGGTTAAGATCATAATAAATAGTATTTAATCAAGGGGATTTAACATGTTGAATAATTCAGTGACTCGAAATTGTTTATGATGCTGTTAAACTCGGTGAATACTATTTGCGTTGCTTTATGTAGAGCAGAATACAGAGTGAGAGTGGCGGTACCTACATACGTGCGTACAAATTGTTTGTCGACCGGCGGTCACGGCTGGGCGGTGACGTCATGCGGCGCCTGTCCCGCCCGCAAAGAACTCTATTCGAACAAACGACGTGAAAAAACGGCTTTTTTACGGCGTGGATTCTGAAAGTAGACATCTTAGGTCTTATTTTTTTGTAAAAAAAGTTATGTATACTGAGTTATTATTCTAATAATATTATTATTAGGGATAGCTTTTGTGTTTCTGTGAAAAAATGCTTATAGTATTTAAAAATAAATGTCAAAAAAAAATGCTATAATGATTATAATATAACCTTACACTTTAGAAGCAAGCAAGCGTTGGAAGACCTAAACCATAAATTGGTATAACCCGATCTAAACGCGCGCTTCCGTAAGAAATATAAGCTATTAAGGTACCATAAGTTTGAGGCTCGCACCTTTACCTCACCTATTTCAGAGCTCTTATCGCTGAAAGTAATAAATTAGGGCGTAGGTATTAACTAAGGCGTCTAGATCCCGGACCATTAAATCGAGCGAGGAGGCTGAGAGGCTGGAGTCGATAAGATTTCCGCTTGTCGCTTCACCGTGTTAATTTCCTGCACCGCCGATAAATTGCCACCGAATAACTCCAAAGAAGTGTACTGGTTTCGAAAATGGGTTCACTGATCCCAGTTAGCGCAGCGCTCGACAAACAAGAAACAAGAGAACATTACTACTTCCATTTCTTTTGTAAATTGTTTCACGTGTTGAATTATGTGTTATAAAATTTCTTCATAAGAACTAGTACTGTTACATGAGGTCATTCACTTTTAACTAAACGGTGCCTTGTAAGTCTATTCTGAACAATTTGATAACACTGTTAAGTTATTACTTGTTAATTAATAGTATTTGCGTTTATATAGCGTAAAATATGTTACTTGAGGTAAAAATCATCATAGGTATATTTAATTTTTTTAAACTGAATTATGCTTTGCTTTATTTTTAATTTTATTCATAAGTATAGCAAATGTCGAAAAAAAGTTTTTCTCATTGGAACGTGCCATCCATACAAAAGGGCGCGCCTTAAAAGCTCGTCGGTTTTGGGCGCGGTTGGAAGCACTAAACTTAAACGAAAATTATATGAAACCCCTTGTTCTAGAATGTCACATTATCTGTACCTTTGTACGTACGCGTCACCGCACCTAAGATTAGTATCACATCCGAGGAGGGCGACGTTGCCCGCGACCCGCGGGAGAGCGACGTTATAGCGAATTATGCGGACTGGTGTCGTGTGTGCCCGTAATGAAAATGCTTTCATGTAATTTAGTTTTAGTCTTTATTTCTATGGAGCTGGTGTGCGTACTATCGCACATCAACACATGATTTTTGTTACGCATAATTTTAATGAATACTCGTATAAGCCTTTTTCCAATATTCTTGCCTTGAAATATAAACGATGTTTGTGTGTAGCCCATTAATTGTTTTCATTATCAATTGCTAACAATTACACAAGCAAAGGGCTATATAAGAAAATTACGTACAGTGATGACTTATAATTTGTGTATATGACATACAAATTTCGAATGAGATATATATATTTAACCTACGGAAGGTTAGTTAATGACTAAAAAAATGTAGGACAGCTTTCATATATAAAATTATTACATGAAGCACTTGCGGCGGCGCGAGGCTCGTTAGCGCGTAGCCGTGACCGTGGCTCTATTTTCGCCCTCATTGATTTCCGTCGCGTCCGCGTCCTTGCCGTACTGAATAATTTGCAGGTCTGATGCTACTCGTACAACTTTTCCTTCCGTGTATACACTCACTGCTCGATAATACTTCTGCGGTGGTTTCAATTATGAATATATCTACGTGTAATAATATCTAATAACTATTATGATTGCCCTACATTTTGATAAATCATATTTTATAAAAACAAAATTATTACCGCGTGATAGAATTATAGTGCAAAATATTAAATACAGTTTTGAATTTGAATATGTTTTCGCAAATTCCTCATTTGATAGAGTCCGATGTTCCTCCCAGCCTCGGCTCCGACCACAACGGAGACTACAGGTGCCTCCCGCCTCTCCCCTGTTTCCACTGCTGCCTACCCTGTAACCGCCGCATGTTCATTTCGCCGTGGCGCCTTGTTAGCCTTTGACCCAACTACATTTCGGTTACAAATAATAGGACATTTATAATAAGCTTAATCTAACTCAAATATACATCAGTCTTGAGAATGCGAAGACAAACATAAACTAGTGACGTTAATGTGAATAACGCTTATGTACTCCGCTATGTGCCAGGCAGTAGCCCAGTGGTAACGCGCTCGCTTGGGAAACCGAGTGATGCTAGTTCAAATCCCGGGTCTCGCATCTTTGATATTTTCATGTGCGAATCATTTCCAACATGAATACTACTTGTCTTAACGGTGAAGGAAAACATCGTGAGGAAACCTGCATGTCTGAGAGAACCTAGCAAGTTTTCAAAAGACATGTGAAGTCCGCCAATCCGCACTTGGCCAGCGTGGTGGACTATGGCCTGATTCCCCTCGTACTGAAGGGAGGCCCGTGCCCAGCAGTGGGACGTTAAAAAGGGCTGAATACATACTCCGCTATGTAATAACCAAATATGAAGCAACTTAGAAGCAATGTTCAATTATTTCACTATAAAATACGAAAAGGGCGCCCAATTTAGATGTAAATGATTTACGCTCTACTATATTGTAGATTCTATTCAAAAGCTTTCATCCTTATCCTATAAAGGCTTTAATGATGGACTTATTATGTGTGTCAGACGGAAACTCAAAACGATTGGATGTGTATGTGTGTGTGTGTGTGTGTGATGGCTGCTGACCGACGATATTATGATTTGCAGAGCTTTTACGGCTAATTGGTATAAGTACGGCTGTACATAGTATAATGGTGTATAATTGTGTATCTTTAGAAATATCTAATAATAAATTTAGCAATAGAAGATATATATTAGAAATATATGAAAAAAAATGTATAACATTTCGACGTTCTGGTGACGGTCTCCGGCTCTATACAAATACAGCGCATATTGGATGACGGTATTGGAGGCTTTGTTTTCATCAGATCAGTATATATAATCGGCAGGCTTAGCGAAAATATTCGTCCCTGTTTCTAAATAGAGCTAGAGCGTAACACTACATGAGGCAAATGTTTTACAAGCCGTAGACAAAACTACGTCTATGTAAATAGCGCCCAGTAGGCCGGTTCGTTTAGAGTACAGCATAGAATGTAATGTTACATTTCTGTATATTGCGTGAAGCTTTTTCATTAAAAACATTTTAACTAACCATAAAATAGTTGGTGGACGCCCACTTCATAGGAACATTATGTAGAATATTAATTATTATATATAGGTATAATAAAAAATAAAAAAAATAAAAATCACCACTTTTTATTTTAAAAATTACGGGTATACACTGAGTTTTAACGCGATGAAAGCAGGTGAGCTACGTCTACATCTTTATTACGTTAGCAAATAAATGAATGTTTGAATTTTCATCGTTGCGTGCGTGAAGGCTGTTGTGTTTTCGTACTCATGATGTACACATTTTTACATATTCGTGTTGCGTGTTGCGGGGATGTTAGGCGCAAATGGACATCCGCTACGCCTCACCCGCCGCCGCGCGGAGATCACGGCATGCGCCTCGCTAACTAAACTTCCTAAGCATTTCCCTCACATTTGCACGTCCCTATCTCGCTCAAGTAAATCATATATATTTATTACACCTAGGATTTGAAAGATACTAAACTCTGTTACTACTAATAAACAAGTACGCGTGAAAGTCCTGTTTATCTTAAATATTAACAAGTTGTTTCAAAACCTCCGCCGCCCGAGCAGTGAGAGAAGGGTATTGAATGTTTGTCGAATAGGTATTTAACGTAACTAATCCGTCTCGAATTCCTTTCAACATTTTCTAAGGGATTTTCATAAACCAAATTTTTTCTCAGAGGTATTCAAACCTCGCTTTACGATAGCACAAGATTGAACCTTTTCACCCTTTGAAAATCAAAGGGAACCTTCCGTTTTACGACGACTATATCTCAAACTATTCAGTATTTGAGCTATTCAGCGTCGATTCGAGTTGAATTCACTTTTATATGGGCATAAACGCTCTCCATTACTGCAATGGTCGGAGATACAGGTCATATTTCTATACAATTGTTATTGCCTCATTATTTGCGTGAAAGTCCCCTCGGTAAGCACTAACGTGGAAAAGTAAAAACACAGGAAAGTACTGGCACGTGCGTGTGATGTGAGCGCGATCGCGGCCCTCTCCATCGGACTCTTGGCTGAATGATCTGACACACTAATCTTTAAACACACTCTAAGTTTTACTACATATTGATGTAAATTCGCTCAAATACGGGTCGATCCAGCGGAATAACAATGATACAAACTACGCCTATTCCCACACGTGATTAGACGAATATATAGGCTTTGTTAGCTGTTTGAGATTTATGTACACGAGGAATAACTTGTTACATTATTCAAAAATATTCAATTTTAAAATTTATAATTCCCAAATAGTACAGCTCTAATCATCATTCCAGTCTTTATACTTGCCGCGACTTTACCCGCATGAAAAGCAATACCTGTTAATAAATTTAATTCTAGAATTATCATAATTAAAGTTTCTTGGAAACCAATGGTATAAAAATATCTAAATAGCACAAAACATTATATAATTTTGGTAAATTTCGTTCAAATCCATTCAATTTATATATGTACATACATAGTATTTACATACACATTCAATATCTTTACGAGTTAATAGATAGACTATAATATTAAATAATATTAGACTTATAATATTAAAACCTATTACACGAAGCTAACTCATTTTTTGTTAAATAAAAACTTGTTCACAAACCAAAAGAATTGCGGTATTTATTAATATTTGCAGTATAACGAATACAACATTGAGCATTAAGCATTCATAGTCGCAGGCCGTAAAAATGTAAGCCCTGATGAGAGTGGCGTCACACAGAACATATGCCTTCTGTTTACTCCGATACAAGATACACGGAAAGGTAACGATTGTCCCAAAAAACGCAATATAAAGTCTACGTTTTATTTGTTTTAATTAAAAGATCCAAATAGCAGAATGTCTGAAAATTTCGTAATACTGTATCAATATAGCTACATTTTAGACAACTTTACGACTGGAGCTCGGAGAGATATGTAAATATTTTTATAAGGTTTGCTCTTGTTGGGCGGACATCATCGACTTTCGCTTACAACTAGCAAGCATACGACACCACCCTACCTAACTTATCTGCTCCATAGGTATAATACTTTCTTAGATTTATACAAATATTTAACATTTTAAACATATTTTTTTTCGGATTTTTCCACGGATCTATTTTGAAATAAGTAAATAAAACTTTAAAACGCTTCATGTAAATTCACTTTATAAAAGACTTTACAATTAAGGAAATCAGCTTTCTTGAGCGCTGACTTTACAAGACGAAGGCATGTCGTACACTGGGGACGTGCCTACTTACGACTAAGTAGGTACATTCATTATGTTAACTAATTATTGTAGGCCGGCCGCTGCGGCGCGCGCTTCATTCTTTACTAAGTTATGAAATTAAGATGTTGTGCCACTTCGTCCACATCATACTAAATGTTACCTTGTGAATGTTAGCTATACGTATCATTGTTTATTACCATAATTAATATGAAATTGTACCCATATAGAAGCATAAGACTAGTTCGTTCTCTGCATCGCTCATTTACTATTAATTATTGTACGTGGATGGAATCTGCGATACTAACACATGGGTCCGTCTTAAGCGGCAGAACTGGTTGAACTATTATTATTAATAAAATATCTATTAAGAATTATAGAGTTTTAAAGCTAAACATTTTATTAGACATATCGTAAATAGCAACAGCTGGCTCTGTTTAGGCTTCTATTACAAGATGCTGTCCGTGCCCGCGCCCGCGCGCCCACGCGCCGCACCGGTCACTGAACCTCGCCAATTAACACCAGTTAGCGGTCTCCTGCTCGGTGGTCCCTTGCACGGCCGATAAAGAATATACCAAAACGAGTGTAGCTATAAATTTGCTCTACGGTGTGAGTTTCTCTATAGAGTTGCGCAACATTTATCTATACTCGATGCACAAATTTGTTTACTAGACGGAGGTGCCGTCTAGTAAACAAAACTTATTTAAGTTATCTAACTCCCAAGAAAATAGAATGCATAAATAAAACTAACCAAAAATGGAATACAACTTTTGAAATAACTTTCAAAAGTCGGCTAGTAACGAGCGAGCAAGTTTCGAAACACAAGTAAGAGAAAACACAGGCCCTGACGACCAGCAATTTGCAGCGAGAGCGAGGTTAAGCATTGCACGCGCTCCTGCAAGTGTACACTAGGTATACTCACAACATGACGATAATATGTACGACATTGTCTCTACACGCATAAAACGCATAATATCACAATAAAAAAATAACAATATCCTATTCATGTGGCAGATTAAGAAATTGAAGCGTAAAAATGAACTTTATACGGTACATCAAAAGGGATTATTTACTTGATACCCTTGTTTGATCTAAGTTTGTGATTTTGAAATCGACTCGAAAAATATTTTATAACATTGATAATATTGTATGAAAATACTTTCGATGAAACTTAAAATAATGTTTGATTAATAATTCCATAGAAACCAAAAGCTTAATTGAAAGCTGTCGCCAGCAATGTTATGTAAATTTTTGTACTCTCATTCTACAAATTATAGTATACGTGTAAATAATATACAAAGATATGTCTTACTGAGCTGATTCTTTAACAAAATATTATCATAGTACTAGCGATGCTAGCAACAAAGTAAAACATCATAGCAGTAAGTCTAAAAAACTTAATGAGGTCCGCGTGAAAGCTTTATTAAAATAAAATAACAAATTTTCGATGTAATTAATTTCATCGAGGATCATCATAATGAAGAAAAATTGATATATATTACAATTTAATAAAAAAATCCCAAATCTTTTTTCAATATTAGTAGTATTCCAGAAATATACTTAATGTTTGTGAAAAAATCTAATCTCTGAGAAGAGTCACCGATAGAAACTTTTTTATTTATACTTTGAGTATCTCGTTCTATAAAGTAAATATCTCGCACAATAAAAAAATATTTGCAAATTGTATATTATTAGGTGTATAAAGAACGCGGCGGGTGCATTACTGCGAATGGAGCAGGAAATGAACTAGTTCTGAAAGTAATTCTACATTCATAATATTTACTTTACGTTGCGGAAAATATTTCAATTTATTTTTCCGAGTGGCGAGTGCCGGCCGTTTATCTTTGTCATTTATAATTATAGTTTCAAAAAAGCACTAACTCTACCCCATTCCGGCTCCGTCATCGCCCCCGCGCCCCCGCGCCCTCGCACCCTCGCACCCTCGCGCGGCCGTTGGTAATCGACACCAGATAACAATATGAATGAACCTTTGCTCGATCAGCTGGTAGTAGCATTACAGAAGCTTCATTACTTTTTTAACCATATTATTGACTACCTCACTAATCAATCAAATCGCCTGATTAATTCTAAGTGAAATATCTACCCTCATTTCTCTGCTAGTAAAACTTTTGACACTTCCAATGTATCTTTATAGAGATCGTCCTTGGAGGGATATATTATTCCTGTCGGCCTAATGTTCAAAAGACCACCTCTCAGCGGTATTATTAGGAAAGGAGCTCGATATCTTTACATTTATTTGAATATACTTCTTTCACGAAGCTTTAAACTGTGATGTATAGTAATGGCTCAATACAAATACCTCTCCAGCGCACGGAGATGTGATTCAGACGCGAGGCATCTTCTTGCAGTGAATTACGATGTTTAGTTTGTCATTACGGAGTGCGTCGCGCCGCCGCCGCTTCCGACACTATTTATATCCTTCTACATCTACGATATACGTTTACTGGTCCTTCTACGTATATACGCTTTAGTTTACGCTATGCTAATAATTACTATATTTATTGAGATATGAAAAAAATATATTTAATGCCCAGCAGCTTTAAAACAAAACTTTCAACCCATTTTACAAACATAATATAAAGCTTGGGCGGTCCGCTGTAACCGCTTTTCTTTTCAGTGACATTTTCTGCGTTGAATTTCGAACCACAGTCTTATTTTTTGAATCGAGTCTCTCGTTAGAAAGTTTTATAGTCGACCGCTGGCCGCCGCTGAAAGACGCAATTCTCACATAAAAAATATCCTTGTACTTTCTGACTGCTATATCTATTCTTGAGAAAAGTTAAAAGGAAACCACTATGAAGCTTGACTTAGCGCAGAAATTGATTTAACGCAAATATTGCTTTTACTCGATTGAAAGAGGCGTCCTAAATAAAATATTATACCTATTTTATTACGTTGGATGTAAATAGCCTAATCAATTAGTTTTATATAAATACCCAATACCAAAAACGAGCTTTATGTAGAAAGTAAACAACAAAAAAATATATAACACTAAGTATGTATTTAGTTTAAAAAAAATGTTTTTAATATTTTTTTGGAGCTTAACAAATATTAGTTTATATTTTGATCTATCAGCTTTGTAGAATATGTTTTTTACAGTATTTTTTTAGCCTCTATCAATATTTTTGCATTGTAAATGAAATATTATTACAGATCCATTGTTGTAAATAAATATATAAATATATAAAACTATCTAAACACACAAGTACGGAGCTACTTGATTATTACAAACACTACTTAAGTAAGGAGAACTGTCGCTTTGGCCAAAAGGTGATATCTAGCTGAGAAGGAGGCATTATATTATGTGAATCAGCCATAATGTTGCCACTTAGTACGCACTTCAAAAGTTACACATTCGAGTTATTACGTTCCTTCAGAGCTAATGTTTTCGTGAAAGTCTTTATCTGGCGGGCATCGAGCGGCGCCACATCTGCCGCAGCAACAGATGCGCCGTGTAACGTATTTACAAAACAACGTTTATGAATATTAATTTGTAAACATGTTCATGTTGTAATTACCTTTTATTACTTTGGAATTATTTCCCATTACGCATGCGGACTCTCACTGTGCTAACATGGTTATGAAATTTTATTATCGTTTAAGTTTTTATCAATCTGTAACTCTACTAAAGTGGCGAAATATTCCACGATATTGCTTTTATTCAATTGAATAAGATTTAATCGCTCTTAAATAATTTACTATACAAATTGTATTTGAATCTCTGTGCAATTCACTTCTCCTGTACTTCACATTCCTCAATTAAGAAGCCAGTCGTCACTCATCAGAGCGTTTCGCACTAGTAATGTGTGCAACATAATTAAGTATAGTTATTAATAATATATTTGTAGTAAAATATATTGCGTAATTTGATTTATGAGCCAATATATGGAATGGTTATTATTCGAAGCTCTGCTGAAATATTCAATAACGATCTGAACAAGCTCACGTTAATTACTGTTACTAATTATTCAGATACGGATTAATCCTAGAGTGAATTAGGGATTAGTTTCTCTTGTCCTGAAATATTACACTGTACAGTGTATACTATGATACTTGGTACTTTATTTCAAACAACAAACAGGCAACCTCGGTGTTAGGTTAGGTTAGGGTAGGACCCCCCCCCCGCAACGTGCGTTCACCTTGTCGTGGTGGGGGGGCTCAGTAGTGCCCGGCAACCCAACCGGGCGCGAAGCCAAGAAACGCACAGGGAGGTGGCCCACTTCGGTGGGCGGTGGGAGGCGCCCCTCTTCGGAGGGCGGTGAATCATGCGGGTTGCTCCTGGTACTTCTCTGATAGCAGAGTGGACCTTGGAGCAACCCCGTGGTTGTTGTGGTCTGCTTCGGCAGACCTGCCGTCGGGGCGTCGTAGTTGAATGCGTAAGCGATCCTGCGACGCCTCATTAAGACGGGGGAAGGCTTTTTTGGGTTTTAGTGGGTAGTACTGGCTTTGCCGGTGAGTCCCACACATCGTGCGTAAATGCATTTCCCAACGTTAAAAAAAAAGGTTAGGGTAGGACGTTTTGATATACGAATTAATTAAAAATCCATCACTAAATTTCATATTTCAGTTCTATATGTGATTGAAAAAATAAAGCAAGATAAGTGTGCACCTACAGACAGACGCGTGTCGTTTCCTTTTGCTTTGAGGACTTCTGGAATCTATTTTCGAAGCGGTCGCCTCGCGCGGGGCCTGCGCCTTCCTCCTGCCGTGACAGTGCGAGCTATACTTGCGTCGTCGACGCGCACACGTGTCGTGACAGATTCATATAATTATTATCACAGATTTCATTTGCTTTTGATTAACAATATACAACTTGAAATAACAAATGAAAACGTTCAACGACGACTCGACTGTGACTTGTCAAACTCATAATATAAATATTTGTACCCGATACGACATTCATCGGTGGCTAGCTCACATTCTGGCTTTAGGGTTTAGGCTTAAAAAGCTAAGTAAATATCAGTTCTATTCCAAGGTTCAGGGGCGTTCGGATGCCGTCCGAGAGTACACTGTAACAAAAACTTTCATTACGACCACTCTTACAAATAAAGTAGGTTGCGACAACATCGGCTTTATAGCGGAGATACGACGACGGCGCATGTTAGTTAACATTACCATTTCGTAGGCATTGCACAATGCACAGCGGAGAGCGCCTTGAGTTGTGTGCTTATTAAAAGTAAATTGGAGCTTGGCTTTCGTTGTACTCAATAGTAAGTAAAGATTAGCTCGGGTAATACAAGGATAGGTCGGAGCAAGCGACGGGCGGCGGCGAGCGGCGGCACGCGGTCACGCGAGGCGCCGCCCGTACAAATCTAGTCTAATTGCACACGTCCGCTCTACTTGTACAATTGTACACACGCCCGTCGCCCAATTACCATCATCAACACGCTCTCTATTTTTTGGCTACATATTTGTCAGATACATTTCCTGAAGATACGAAGATGAATCATTTCTATTACATTAAATAAAAAATGTAAACACACACACACACATATATATATATATATATACAGTGGCGGCCTTAGGGGGTGGCGAGCAGGGC